CCCCCCCCCTCCCCCCCCTCCAAAAAAAAAACAGAATGGTACGCCGCCAGCAAAAAAAAAGGACTGAAATAATACGCCCTCCCCTGATTATAAATTATAAATATTTTGGCTTGCTGAAGATCCAAGTATTCTGATGAACACTGGTCAGATGGGATGGTGCTAGTCCCGATTCTGCTGTTAACCTTTGCTGTCGTATACTTTATACCAGGGAGTGAAACCATCTCTTCTGCCATGTGCTCCGCCTTGAGGAGCTCCGTCATCTTCAAAATGAAGGGAATGGTGCAAGTAGCAGAAAACATTGAAGCAGTTTCCTCCATCCAAGCATGGCTCCTCGGTCGCTGAAACCAAAGCCCTTATTAGAATATCAACGCATTGAAGCGACTTTGCACAGCAGTTCTGAGCAATATGCTACCATTGGTTTCCATGCTAACTTCCACTCCTCCTTTGTGGGCGAACCTGCACGAATTCACATTTATGCTCTACACCGCGAGCATGTGCTGCATGTGGCCACATTCATGAATCAAAACAGTGTTTCTTGCCATTATTGCCTGTTTGCGTGACGTCGGAATGAGCTCTCATGAGCTCTCACCATGAACAGCCCAAGCACCTCCTACCCACCTGTGAAACCCCTGAATACATCCGAAATGAAACCAAACAGCTTCAAGCACACGCCCTTGAGCCCACGAATATTGCATCACCCAGCTGGCAAGGGACCAAGCGCTTGAATGTCCGACAACGCGGCTGGAACACAGGCATGTGGTAACCAAACCCTCGATCTAAGTGGACAGATCGCGCGCAGCGATTCAATTACAAGCCCTCTGAGCGTCCGTGCCAAAAGGGCCTCAGCTCCGCTGCTACGGCAGGCCCAGCTGGCCCGGCAGGCATGCGGCGGCGGCATCATGAGCAAGGCCCAACCGGCATCAATCGTTGTTTGCGAAGTGAATCAGCTATACGTCTACTTAAAATCTAGTTAGCGACGTTGTGGAGCACTTGCGGCCTGCCAACCCTGAGCTCATTTCTGGGAAATGCTCTGGCTCCTTGTGCGCGCCGTCCGTGCGTGCATCCGTGCGTGCGTCCGTCCGTCTGTGTGTGTCCGTGTGTGTGTGTGTGTGTGTCATTGTCTGTCTGTGTGTGTGTGTGTCTGTCTGTGTGTGTGTGTGTGTCTGTCTGTCTGTGTCCGTGTGTGTGCGCCTGTCTGTGTGTGTGTGTGTGTCTATCCGTGTGCGTCTGTCTGTGTGTGTGTGTGTGTATCGGTCTGTCAGTGTGTGTGTGTGTGTGTGTCTGTGTGTGTGTGTGTGTGTCTCTGTTTGTGTGTTTGTGTATTTTTGTTTTCGTGTGTCTGTGTGTATTTGCGTTTTTGTATTTTTAGGTTTGTGGGGTTTTGTGTGTGTGTGTGTTTGTGTTTTCGTGTGTTTGTGTGTTTGTGCTTTTGTATTCTTGTGTTTTTTGTGTTTGTGTTGATCTTTTCTTTTTGTGTTTGTGTCTGTGTGTGCGCGTGTGTGTGTGTGTGTGTGGGTGGGTGTGTGTGTGTGATTGTTTGTGCGTTTTGTGTGTTTGTGCATCTGCGTGTTTGTGATTCTGCGTTTTGTGTTTGTGTATCTGTGTGTTTGTGTGTTTGTGTGATCGTCTGTTTGTGCATTTTGTGTGTGTGCGTGCTTGTGTGTGTGTGTGAGTCTGTCTGTCTGTCTGTGTCTGTTTGTGTGTGGGTGTGTGTGTGTGTGTCTGTCTGTCTGTCTGTCTGTGTGTGGTTGTGTGTCTGTTTGTGTGTGTCTATGTGACTATGTGTGTCTGTGTGTGTGTGTGTGCATGTGTTTGCGTCTCTGTTTGTGTGTGTGTGTGTGCCTCTCTGTCTGTGTGTGTGTGTGTGTCTCTCTGCGGGTGCGTGCATGCGTGTGTGTGCAATGGCCAGCACCAGCATCATTGAATCCACAAGCTCACCATTGACACCCACCCGTAGACTGTGAAAACTCTGACCTTGAAGCCGAGACCCCAACCACAGATGAAACGCTCAGTCTTTGCATCACCACGGAATCGTAGGTTTGGGGTGGAGATTTTTTGTTGGCCTTTTTTTTTGCCTTTTTTTTTTTGGTCCCTGGCTTCTCTTCTTTCCTAGGAACCGGGGGGCATGGACATGGGGCTGGGGATGCGCCCAGGGGCTGCGGGGTGGAGACCCGGGGGCCGGGGCTGGGTTCCCAACCTGGTAACGCATCTACTCGTCTCTACATCTATACATATCTGTGTATATACATACATACACATATCTACATATATACATACATGCAAATATATATATAT